GTCCAGTGTTCTCCACCTACTAGCTGTCCTGTAGTGTTGTCCACCTACTAGCAGTGTGTGAGGAAGAATGAAGGAATGACAGTGTGTGGGGGGTGGTCTTGAATACAGGCCAATCCACTATACACCTCACCATATTTTATATATCTCAGACCAGTTCGTATATCGTCGGATCTAAGCTTAAAGGGTAAAAAAAAATATATATATTACAGCTATATCACATGGGCTATTTATTACGATCTCCTCACAATGGGTCTATCTATCATAGTCCTTACTTAACCCTCAGGCGTAGATCACCTATGGTATACTGCTCTCAGGTCAACAGGGATATTCAGATTTTGTTTTCTCTTTCTCTTCTCTTTTTTATTTATTTATTTTTATTTTTTTTATTCTGAACGTACCCAAGGTGTTTATGTCTGAACCTAACTCACTGAAACTGTTTAATGTCCAGACTGAACGCACCCAAGATTTTCAGAGTCCTATTGAACACACACCGAGTTGTTTAGTATTCGAGTTGAATTGATCTAAAGTGTTCAGTGTTCGGACTCAACGCACCCAAGTCGGTGAATGTTGGAAGTAAATGAATTAAAGCTCTTTGATGTTCGAACTTAAAGCTTCCAAACTATTTAGGATAAAAACTGAATGCATCCAAGTCATCTTACACGAGCTTGAACACATCCGAACCATTGGGTCCGAATTGGAGTGTGTCTTTAATGTTACTTCAGTAAACTGACCGACGTCCTCCTGCCTGAACGCAATCATCATACGTAACTTGGCCTCAACTGAACGCAATCATCAGACGTAACTTGGCCTCAACTGAACGCAATCATCATACGTAACTTGGCCTCAACTGAACGCAATCATCATACGTAACTTGGCCTCAACTGAACGCAATCATCATACGTAACTTGGCCTCAACTGAACGCAATCATCATACGTAACTTGGCCTCAACTGAACGCAATCATCAGACGTAACTTGGCCTCAACTGAACGCAATCATCAGACGTAACTTGGCCTCAACTGAACGCAGTCATCACACACGCTTCTGTCTAAAGTGTTCACTTTTTAGTCTAAAGTGAACGCCACCACAACACCGACGCTGTAGTGAACGCTGAACGCGGTCAGACAACCGTGTTTGCATAGAACGCGGCAACGCCCAGGCGGTATCCATGACTTCCCTTTTGGTAAACTTGAGCGACTGTCTGGGCTTGAAGCTGGGAACTCCACCTGAGCTAGGAGCTGGGACCTCCACCTGAGCTAGGAGCTGAGACCTCCACCTGAGATAGGAGCTGGGACTAACACAACTACATAACTTAAGGTCACACGGTTCTCACCTGCCTAGTCTACCTACGAACACAAGTTAGGAACGAACCTCTGAAATATTGTATATGTACAGTATTTGTGTGTGTGTGTGTGTGTGTGTGTGTGTGTGTTGTGGTTATACACAAGTAGAACCGATAATAACGCCCCACTTCCCCCAGAACTAACCACAGTGCATAAGGTGATGTACACACTAACAATACAGGAGGCTGGCCTGTCATTACCCCGGTCTCAGGTGTGACTCATCCGCTCAGTATGACATTGGTTCTGTATTACTTACTGTACGTCCTGGGAGCTTGTTAGTTGGTGGCATTATCCCTAACTAGGATTTAGTACCATTGAATGAGTCAGGAGCTAGGACCACCACCTGAGCTAGGACCACCACCTGAGCTGGGAGTTGTAAGAAGGTAGAATTAAGATGGCTCGGTTGTAGTCGAGCAGCAGAGTATCTTAGCACGGACAAATCCTCTTTCCTCGTGTTACTGAGAGAGAGAGAGAGAGAGAGAGAGAGAGAGAGAGAGAGAGAGAAAACAATGCTATGAGTGTGGTCGGCCTCTCATGAATAAAGGAACACGTCTAGACAGGTTCAAGATAACTTTAGGAGGTTCCAATATGATTTATTCATTGCGCCGTGAATAACAAGGAACACCGCTGGCTGGGTCATTCATCATTCAGGAAATTATTTTAAAAACGTACAGACAGACAAATGTGAGTTAAAAGGACAGGTAGGGCTAAATGAAGACAGAGATGAGACAGGAGGGTTGAGATACAGTAGACAGAACGCCACCACAATAATGATTTCCTAATTAAATAAACATTCCTTTCCTTCATCGAATTCCCACAATAAACATTAAGAAATTTCACCAAGGGATCTAGTTCTAAATACATTAACTTGAGAATCATTATGGTCGGAGTCGTAAATTAAAAATGAATCATTCTGGATCATTAATTGTTTCCAGGGATTCTATAGTTATCAAGCCTTTGAGAGAGAGTCGTGTTAAAGAAAAAAGGTTGAAAGTCGTCTTGAATTCACTGAGACACAGACTGATGCAGGAGAAAAACCAAATAGCTTCACTTCATTTGCATCTATTAAGGTGGAGGGAGGAGGGTCGGGGTGCAGTGGTCACGAGACACAAGATAGCGAGACGATGCACTGAACCCTTAATGGATCAACTCACTCAGGATCACAACCCAAACACAGGAGCTTCAATTCATTAGAACACTTGCCTGCACCTACACACACAACTTATTACCTACACACAAGTGAGTGATAGTGTTTAGTTGGGAAGGATATGCAAATACACACACACACACACACAGAGGCAGAAATACAATATTTTTCTTCTAAGACAAATGAGTTTAAATATATTCACAGGGAAAAAAAATGTTTCCCATAAATACACAGACGAACGAATGAGAAAAAAAATAAAGATAGAGTCATTAGTCTTGATGTACGAACAGTGTGAAATAAGATCGATGAAAAAGATAAATTATCATTCAGTTGAAAAGAAACAAAAGACGCCCACCTAACATCTTTATTTCACTTCAGAATTTGTCCATATATGAATTAATTTTTTATTCCTGCAGCGAAATCAAGAAATATGAGGTCTTGAACGACACGCTCTGTCATCCATGCGAGGAAAATTTCATCAGGTAAAAATCCAGAAAATTATTATCCCGAGAAACAGTGAATCACAAGTGACAGTTCTATTTGGCGATGACATTCACCTTTGGTTGACCAGGGTTACATAAGGCCAGGGCGGAGGGGCGTCTGGGCTCTGTGTAATGGCAGGTTATTCCTGGAATGGGAATGACTGGAATGCGGGTTCTTATGAGTGATGGCGGATACTCATACTAGCGAGGGACATCAGTGAGGTATGAGCCACATGTTCATTATTTTCTTATGGTTTTATTTACTCCTAATTTGTTAATGTCATATGGTTTATTTTTCTTTCTATTTCTTCTCACATTTTATTTATTATTGTATCTTGTTTTGTTTTCCTTTTGCGAGAGTTTGAAAAGTATTAAGGAGAGGCCACATACACTCACGTACTCACCTCTGCCACCACCACGTACACTCACGTACTCACCTCTACCACCACCACGTACACTCACGTACTCACCTCTGCCACCACCACATACACTCACGTACTCACCTCTGCCACCACCACGTACACTTCACGTAGTCACCTCTGCCACCACCACATGCCTCACGTAGTCACCTCTGCCACCACCACGTACACTCACGTACTCACCCTGCCACCACCACTCACACTCACGTACCACCTCAGGCACCACCACCACACTCCACTCACCTCAGGCACCACCACGTACCTCCCGTACTCACCTCTGCCACCACCACATGCACCCCCTCACCACCTCTCACCACCACCATGCACTCCCGTACTCACTGCCACCACCACACCTCTGCCACCACCACGTACCTCCCATGCACCTCTGCCACCACCACGTACCGTACTCACCTCCTGCCACCACATTACCTCCCGTACTCACCTCTGCCACCACCACGTACTCACCTCACCCACCACCACGTACTACTCACCTCTGCCACCACCACGTACACTCACGCAGGTCACCTCTGCCACCACCACGTACACCACGTAGTCACCTCTGCCACCACCACGTACACTCACTCCGCTACTCACCTCTGCCACCACCACGTACACTCACGTACTCACCTCACGTACCACCACCACGTACACTCACGTAGTCACCTCTGCCCACCACCACGTACACCTCTGCCACCACCCTGCCTCCACCACCTCTGCCACCACCACGTACACTCACGTCACCTCTGCCACCACCACTCTGCCACCACCACGTACTCACCTCTACACTCACGTAGTCTGCCTCAGCCACCACCACGGCCTCCACGTACCTGCCACCACCACTGTACTCACCTCTGCCACCACCACGTACACCTCTGCCACCACCACGTACACGTAGTCACCTCACCACCACGTACACCACTGTAGTCACCACCACCACACTCACGTAGTCACCTCTGCCACCACCACGTACACTCACGTACTCACCTCTACCGCCACCACATGCACCTCTCACCTCTCGCCACCACCACACTCACGCCACTCTCACCTCAGGCACACCACGTACACTCACGTACTCCTCTGCCACCACCACGTACACTCCACGTACCACCACCACGTACTCACCTCAGGCACCACCACGTACTCCCACCTCTGCCCACCACCACATTACACTCACATGCTCACCTCTGCCACCACCACGTACCCACGTACTCACCTCCAGGCACCACCACGTACACTCACGTACTCACCTCTGCCACCACCACGCACTCACGTACTCACCTCTGCCTGCCATTGCCTCACATACTCACCTCAGGCACCACCACGTACACTCACGTGCTCACCTCTGCCACCACCACGTACACTCACGTACTCACCTCAGGCACCACCACCACCACGTACACCTCTCACGTACTCACCTCTGCCACCACCATGCACCCACGTATTCACCTCTGCCACCACCACGTGCACTGCACCACACACTCACTCACCTCTGCCACGGCCGGGCGTCTGACTTGGAAGTTGGTGTGACCTGTTTTCACCATCAGTCAGTTGGACCCAGGCCACCTGAGAGCCAGCCACCCTTGCGTGACCCGTCATGCGTCAGGTCACGAGGTTGTAGTCGCCGCCTTGGGGTCACCGTCAGGCATCGTGTATGATACCAGTCCGTCTGTTAGAGGTACTGTGTTAACTACTTCACTACTAATGGGGAGGTGCACTGTGTTAACTACTTCACTACTAATGGGGGGGGAGAGGTACTGTGTTAACTACTTCACTACTAATGGGGGCAGGGAGAGGTACTGTGTTAACTACTTCACACTACTAATGGGAGAGGTACTGTGTTAACTACTTCAATACTAATGGGGGAGAGGTACTGTGTGTCCTTCAATACTTGGGGGGAGACTACTTCTTCACTACTAATGGGGGGCGGGAGAGGTGCTGTGTTAACTACTTCACTACTGTGGGAAGTACTGTGTTACTACTTCAATACTAATGGAGAGGTACTGTGTTAACTACTTCACTACTAATGGGAGAGGTACTGTTAACTACTTCACTACTAATGGGGAGAGGTACTGTGTTCAACTACTTCAATACTAATGGGGGAGGTACTGTGTTAACTACTTCAATACTAATGGGGGGAGAGGTACTGTGTTCAACTACTTCACTACTAATGGGGGAGAAATTGTGTTCTTCTTCAATACTAATGGGGAGAGGTACTGTGTTAACTACTACTAATGGGGGGGCGGGAGGTACTTCACTACTAATGGGGGCAGGAGAGGCTGTGTTAGCTTCTCCACTACTAATGGGGGAGGTACTGTGTTAACTACTACTACTGGGGGAGAGGTACTGTGTTAACTACTTCAATACTAATGGGAGAGGTGCTGTGTTAGCTACTTCACTACTAATGGGGGGCGGGGAGAGGTACTGTGTTAACTACTTCACTACTAATGGGGGCAGGGGAGAGGTGCTATGTTAACTACTTCACTACTGGGGGCGGGGAAGTGCTGTGTTAATCCACTACTGTGGGGAGAGGTGCTGTGTTAACTACTTCACTACTAATGCAGGGGAGGTCACTGTGTTAACTACTTCACTGCTACTTCACTACTAATGGGGGCGGGGAGGTACAGTTGCTACTTCACTACTGTGGGGGGCTAATGGGGGCGGGAGAGGTACTGTGTTAACTACTTCACTACTAATGGGGGGCGGGGGAGGTGCTGTGTTAACTACTTCACTACTAATGGAGAGGTGCTGTGTTACTTCACTACTAATGGGGGCAGGGGAGTGCTGTGTTAAACTACTCCACACTACTAATGGGGGCGGGGAGGTGCTGTGTTAACTACTCCACTACTAATGGTGCTGTGGCTACTTCACTACTAATGGGAGAGGTACTGTGTAACTACTTCACTACTAATGGGGGGGGCGGGGAGAGGCCTGTGTTAACTACTTCACTACTAATGGAGGGCAGGGAGAGGTACTGTGTTAACTACTCCACTATTGTGGGGATTAGAGGTGCTGTGTTAACTACTTCACTACTAATGGGGGCCAGGAAGTGCTGTGTTAACTACTTCACTACTAATGGAGGCAGGGAAAGTGCTGTGCTTTCACTAATGGAGGCGGGGAGGTACTGTGTGCTACTCCACACTACTAATGGGGGCAGGGGAGAGTGCTGTGTTAACTACTTCACTACTAATGGGGGGCGGGAGGTGCTGTGTTAACTACTCCACTACTAATGGGGGGCGGGAAGTGCTGTGTTAACTACTTCACTACTAATGGGGGCCGGGGAGAGGTGCTGTGTTAACTACTTCCTCCACTAATGGGGGCCGGGGAGAGGTACTGTGTTAACTACTTCACTACCAATGGGGGGCGGGGAGACTGTACTGTGTTAACTACTTCACTACTAATGGGGGGCGGGGAGAGGTACTGTGTTAACTACTTGAAAAAAACTGATCACCCTAACGAACAATTTGCTAAATTAAAATGTTAATATTCGAAGAAATTAACACCTACTGATGTGCCCTATTTGTTTCGAAGAGAGATAGGAAGGAACTGGTTCACAAATAGGGTGGTGGACGAGTGGAACAAGCTTAGCAACTTTGTAGTAAGTGCTGGAACGCTGGACAGTTTCAAAAAGAGGCTAGATAGATTCATGGAAGATAGAGAGTGGTAGTAACTCTCGACAGGAGCTGCCATGCACAGGCCAACCGGCCTATTGGAGACTCCTTATTTTCTTATGTTTTTATGTTCTTATGTTCACAAATCTGTCAATCACTTGCTTGACAATAATTATTTCCAGTTCCGTAATAATCAGAGATACAACTTAAGGCACCCAGAGCTACTAAGACCACCCCCCCCCCCCAAGTGCTCCTCTCAGTCCCAGACCTCCATAAACTATCATGGTGTGAAGGTGTGGAACAACTTACCCCCAACCAACCGTGGTAACATGTTCTTATTGCCACCATGCTATTGTACTATTCCAGATGATACTAAATGTTACATAATACTTCCTTGAGATAAATGTATAGTATATATCAGGTGCCTAAAAGAGAGCTCAGGTTCTCAACTGGCTCAGCCATGTTAATATTGTTATTATTATCCACTCTGTATCTGTGTTTTTTCTGGCTAAATAAACTGTTTCAATAACTAGTACTAAAAGGTGAAGACTTTCTTACCTGAGGTCCAGGACATATTAACTGTTCCTAAACTGACCTGTATAGCAGTAAGTGTACTGTATAGCTCTAAGTGACTTGTAGAGCAGGAAATAAGCTGTACCTGTATAGCAGTAAGTGAGCTGTACCTGTATAGCATTTAGTGAGGTGTATAGCAGCAGTAAGTGAGGTGTATAGCAGTAACTGACCTGTATAGCGACAGCCGTACAGCTCGACTCTCATACAGACAGTCCTCGGGTGGTCGCTGTAGGGGACAAACCTGACCCTGGCCGCTATGATGGGCGGACTTAACTGTGAGGTCTGGGCCAAGTAGGTGTTGCTGTTGCCCGCTAATAACTGTGGGAGAGAAGTGAGAGGTGAGAGAGAGAGAGAGAGAGAGAGAGAGAGAGAGAGAGAGAGAGAGAGAGTTACACCATGTAAATAACACAAACAAACAAACATTAAACCCATTATTGAGTCAGCACTGAGTCAGAGAGATAAAGTAATTATACCTTAAATATATATATTGATGTTAGTAAAATATTACATTCATATATACTGTACATACAAAAAAGTTGAGAGCCGTTGATTATATGTTCCAAGACACCAGAAACCTTGCCTTATTAAGTGTGAGTGTGTTTAATTTGGCCACACACACACACACACACACACACACACACACACACACACACACACACACACACGGTATATTTATCATCGTCAGAGTACAATCATATCTCCATAGCGAGACACAAAGATCAACTTCTTCTTCTTTCTCCATTACTCAGCCACAACCTCTCCATATCCTGCTTATGTGGAGGAGTGGAGGCGATGATGGAGGGGGTGGAAGAGTGTGGAGGAATGGAGGCGATGATGGAGGGGGTGGAAGAGTGTGGAGGAATGTGGAGGGAGAGTGACAGGCAGGTGTAGGTGTGGTGGTGAACAAAAGGCTTGATGTATACCCGCCTAGACCTTCCTCCCTTCACTTCCCTCCCTTCCCCCCTCCTGCCCTTCACTTCCCCCGTCCTTCCTTCACTTCCCTCCTGCCCTTCCTTCCCCTCCTGCCTTCCTCCCCCTGCCTTCCTCCCTCCTGCCCTTCACTTCCCCCCTCCTGCCTTCCCCTCCTGCCCTTCCCCCTCTGCCTTCCCTCCCCTCCTGCCCTTCCTTTCCTCCTGCCCTTCCTCCCTTTGCCCTTCACTTCCTCCCTCCTCCCTTCCTTCCCCCCCTCCTGCCCTTTTCCTCCTGCCTTCCCCCCTCCTGCCCTTCTTCCTCCCTCTGCCTTCCTCCTCCTGCCTTCCCCCCCTCCTGCCCTTCCCCCCCTCCTGCCTTCACTTCCTCCTCCGGCCCTTCACTTCCCTCTGCCCTTCCCTCCTCCTTCCCTTCCTTCCCTCCTGCCCTTCCCCCTCCTGCCCTTCACTTCCTCCTCCTGCCCTTCATCCCTCCTCCTGCCTCCTCCTCTTCCTTCCCCTCCTCCTGCCTTCCCTCCTCCCTGCCCCTTCAGTTCCTCCCCTGCCCTTCCTTCCCTCCCTCCTGCCCTTCCCTCCTCCCTCCCCCTTCACTTCCTCCTGCCTACCCTCCCTCCTGCCTTCCTTCCCTCCCCTGCTCTTCCCTCCCTCCTGCCCTTCACTTCCTCCCCTCTGCCCTTCCCCCCTCCCCCTCCCCTCCCTCCTCCTGCTCTTCCCTCCCTCCTGCATAGCTGTGTTTAACTCCTATATAGCTGTGTTTCCTCTACTAGCTGTGTTTCCTCCCTGCTTGTGTTTAACTCTACATAGCTGCGTTTCCTCTGCATAGCTGTGTTTAACTCTACATAGCTGTGTTTCTCTGCATGTGTGTTTCACTCTATAGCTCTGTTTCACTCTGCATAGCTGTGTTTTAACTCTCATAGCTGTGTTTAACTCTACATAGCTGTGTTTCACTCTACATAGCTGTGTTTCTCTACATAGCTCTGTTTCACTCTGTAGCTCTGTTTCCTCTGCATAGCTGTGTTTACCTCATAGCTTGTTTACTCCGCTGCACAGCTGTGTTTAACTCTACATAGCTGTGTTTCACTCTGCATAGCTGTGTTTAACTCTACATAGCTGTGTTTACTCACATAGCTGTGTTTCTCTACATAGCTGTGTTTCTCTATAGCTGTGTTTCCTCTATAACTCTGTTTCCTCTATAGCTCTGTTTCTCACATAGCTGTGTTTAACTCTACATAGCTGTGTTTCTCACATAGCTGTGTTTCACTCTGCATAGCTGTGTTTAACTCTACATAGCTGCGTTTCACTCTGCATAGCTGTGTTTAACTCTACATAGCTGTGTTTCACTCTGCATAGCTGTGTTTCACTCTACATAGCTCTGTTTCACTCTACATAGCTGTGTTCCTCTATATAGCTCTATTTCACTCTACATAGCTGTGTTTCACTCTACATAGCACTGGCCATCACTTCGTCTCACCAGAAGTGTTCAATACATGGACCCTCCTGCCTCTTCGTGTGTTACAGCACCTTGGGGTTTATCTTTAACTATCGTCCAACACCATAAAATATCGATCAAGTTCTACGTTTAAATTCCTTACAAACGTTTCTCTTATATTCATGTTTTTGTTTGTAATTATCGTCTGCTTGTGCCCTTCAATACCTTTCTTGTCCTGTCGTCTACAAGGGTTTAATATTTCTCAAAGTCATGTATGATTCTTACAGTCTAGATGCATCATTAATTATTATTTTTTTTTATGCCCCGTAACGAATGTGTAAGAAGGGTATAGAATGTAATCGTTGTTCGTCTGTCTGTATGTCTGTACGTCTGCCCTCACTTGTGTATTATTGTCTATTGTTGTGGTCTATCTATCTATCTATCTATGTACGTGGATATTTATGATTACATTTAACATGACATCAGAAGAACATCTTTATGACCTATTCTATGGCAGTTTTCTTTCTCTAGTTATTATTAAAGATTTTAATTCAGTGTACGAAAGCTCTGCGTCTGTTACCCATTTATCGACGATTATCCAATTCTTCGTCGTTTGGTTACACACACACACACGCACGCGCACACACCGCACACACACGCACACACCTCAGACGGTATCCTATAAATTGATTATTCATCTGTGGGGGATGCATTGGCCCTAGGGCGGAGGCTGCCCGCCCCTCTCCGTCCCCTCCTGCCTCTCCTCCCCTCCCTCCGTCCCTCCACCTCTCCTCCACCCCCTGACCCTGCTCGTCCCATCCTGTCCCCTACCTGCCCCCCACCCCTTCCTCCTCACCTCCCTCCCTCTCACGACCTTCCATTGTCTACCTGAAGGTGAAAGTGAAGGTCAACGGCTCCTTTTTATTTGGAGCTTTTTTTATAAATTTCTTGATTCTCAAATGATCTTAAATGAAGGTATTATCTATCTATCTTCAGTCTCTCTCAGCTAATTTTCATGAACAATTTCCACTGCCAACCATCGTCACCCACCAACACAGCTGACAGTGTTACAGTCAACCAAAGTCTTTAATTTCATCGAGGTAGATTTTGTTCACAGATCATGCGGTGAGTCAGTTCAATTCTCCTCCTTTATGAGTTTCACCAATATGGAACGTTTCATAAATATGTGACAACGATTGGCATTGGATGAAGTGGGCTTTTGTCTGCTCGTTATGAAAGACTCGTCGACGCTATTGGTGGATTGCATAATTTGTCTCCTCTTGTCAGGTTTTATGACTGGTCGATAAAAAAAATGACATGAAAGGCTCTCTGCTATTGGTGGATTGTATTATAGCCTCACATTACCGGGTTTTGTGAGTGGTCAATTGAAAGGCTCACTGCCATTGGACCGTGATGTTTCCTTTTTTTTTGTATTAGGAAGTTATGATTGGTAGAATGAAATAAGTGATCTCCTTTCGGTGAAGAGACTGTGATTGGTGCATTGTATTATTTGTCTTATTGCAATGTTTTGTGATTGGTCGACTGGAAAGTATATAATATGGGTCTAGTGGGTGTCACCATAACTATAAGTTGGTCAATGGTCCATGCCGGGCCACCAGTGGTCACAACTCACCTCCTCACCACGACCATCACTATAAGTGGTCCAGTGGTCATGCCGGGCCGCCACATCTGAATCTTGTAATGCTTGGGAACTCTTTACCTGACCGTTGCCGAACCTTCCTGGACCTCCACCTTGGGACCACGTGGAGGCCGCCGAGGTTGACCTCCAGGAACTGTGTGCTGGTAGACCATCTCCCTGGGGCAGGCGCCTCCTCCCAGCCAGCCGCGCCCTGACAAACACCACCATCGCACATTGTATTATTATACTGCTTTATTATACTCTGTTATTATACCTGTTGTTATTACCTATGTTATTATGCCTGCTTATTATCTTTATTCCCTGCTGTTATATACTGTCATTGTTATATTTATACCTGCTGTTATTATACCTGCTTTATTATACCTGCTGTTATTATACCTGTTATGTTTATTACCTGTTGTTATTATACCTGTTGTTATTATACCTGCTGTTTATTATACCTGCGTATTATACCTGCTGTTATTAACCTACTGTTGTTATACTGTTATTATACTTGTTGTTATTATACCTGCTGTATTATACCTACTGTACTGTTTTTATTATACCTGCTTATTATACTCATTGTTATTATACCTGCTGTTATTATACCTGCTGTTATTCCTGCTGTTATTATACCTGCTGTTATACACTGCTGTTATTATACTACTGTTATTATACTGTTATTATACCATATTATTATACCTGCTGTTATTATACCTGTTGTTATTATACCTGTTGTTGTTACTTTCTGTTTATTATACTGTTGTTATACTTTACTGTTATTATACCTGCTGTTATTATACCTGTTGTTATTATACCTGCTGTTATTATACTGCTGTTATTATACCTGCTGTTATTATACTGCTGTTATTTTATACATTTATATATTATTATACCTGATTATTTGCTGTTATTACACTTTTATTATACCTATATTATATACGCTGTTATTATACCTGTTGTTATACTGTTATTATACCTGTTGTTATTATACCTGTTGTTATTATACCTGCTGTTATTATATAACATTGTATACCTTATATTTAGTTATTTATTATACTGCTGTTATTATACCTGCTGTTATTATACTGTTATTATTATACTAACTGTTATTATATGTTATACCTCTGTTATTATACCTTCTGTTATTATACCTATGTTGTATACATATTTGTTATTATACCATGTTGTTATTCCTGCATTATCCTGCTGTTATTATACATGCTGTTAATATATATTATACCTGTGTTATTATACCTGCTGTTATTATACCTGCTGTTATTATACCTGCTGTTATTATACCTGCTGTTATTATACCTGCTGTTATTATACTGTTGTTATTACCTGCTGTTATATACGTGTTATTTACCTGCTGTTATTATACCTGCTGTTATTATACTGTTATTATACTTGCTGTTATTATACTTCTGATGTATTTATTTACTTATACCTGCTGTTATTATACCTGCTGTTATTATACCTGCTGTTATTATACCTGCTGTTATTATACCTGCTGTTATTATACCTGCTGTTAATACCCTGTTATGCTACTGTTATACATACCTGCTTTGTTTACTTGTTATTATACCACATTATACTGCTGTTATTATACCTGCTGTTATACCTGCTGTTATTATACCTGTTGTTATTATACCTGTTAATACCTGCTGTTATTATACATACTGTTATATTATTGCTGCTGTTATTAACTTTATTGTTATATACCTTACATTATTATACCTGTTATTATACTGCTGTTATATATGCTGTTATTATACCTGCTGTTCTGTTATTATACCTGATGTTATTATACCTTTATTATACTGCTGTTATACCTGCGTTGTTATACTTATACCTGCTGTTTATTATACCTCTGTTATTATACCTGCTTTTTTTATACTGTATATACGTTATTATACATATGATACTGTTAATTTATTATACTGCGTTACCTGCTGTTATTATACCTGCTGTTATTATACCTTAACGTTATTATACCTGCTGTTATTATACCACTTTTTACTGCTGTTTACTACCTCTTATTATCCTGCTGTTATTATCACTTTATTGCCTGCTGTATGCTTATGTTGTATGCACTGCTGTTATTATACCTGCTGTTATTAATACCTGCTGTTCTTGTATACCTGCTTATTATACCTGCTGTTATTATACCTGCTGTTATTATACCTGCTGTTTACTTATACACCTGTATTGTATGACCTGCTGTTATTATACACCTGTACTGTATACCTGCTGTTATTATACACCTGTACTGCTGTTATTATACTATTATGTATACTGCTGTTATACACCTGTACTGTATACCTGTTATTATACACCTTATGTATACCTGCTGTTATTATACACCTGTACTGTATACCTGCTGTTATATACATGCTGTACACTGCTGTTGTATACCTGTGTGCTGTATACCTGCTGTTATTATACACCTGTACTGTATACCTGCTGTTATTATACACTGTACTGTATACCTGTGTTATTATACACCTGTACTGTATATACACTGTTATTATACTATAACATTATTATACACTGCTGTATACCTGCTTATTTATTATACCTGTACTGTATACCTGCTGTTATATACACACCTGTGTCTGTATACCTGCTGTTATTATACACCTGTACTGTATATTATATATTACCTGTGCTTATCTGCTGTTATTATACACCTGTACTGTATACCTTGTTGTTATCACACATATGCCTGTATTATTATACACCTGTACTGTATACTGCGTTGTTATACACCTGTACTGTATATATGTTATTACACCTGTACTGTATACCTTCTGTTGATATACACCTGTACTGTATATATTGTTGCTATGCATGTATATATATGTTGTATACACCTGTATCTTATACCTGATGTTATTATACACCTGTACTGTATACTATAACTTTATTATACACCTGTACTGTATATAACTGTTATTATACCTGTATATATATATGTTATTATACTGTGCTATACACTGTATACACACTGCTGTATACCTGTTATTATACACTGCTATGTATACTGTTAATATACACCTGTACTGTATACCTGTTGTTTTATACACCTGTACTGTATACCTGTATTATACACATGTACACCTGTACTGTATACACTGTTGCTTTTATACTGTATACCTGCTGTTATTATACACCTGTACTGTATACCTGCTGTTATTACACCTGTACTGTATACCTGCTGTTATTATACACCTGTACTGTATACCTACTGTTATTATACACCTGTACTGTATACCTGCTGTTATTATACACCTGTACTGTATATCTGCTGTTATTATACACCTGTACTGTATACCTGCTGATGATATACGAGTTAACAGACGTATCACTCGCTCCAAATATTATCTTTACGTTTTTGTGTTTGACAATATGACACAACGGACGAAGGATTTTGACAACACCTCCGTGAAGACACTGTTTGGAGCGAGTACAGTACACCGTGTGACTCTCATCATAATACAAGATGAGAAATACAGTTTATACAGTTTATCTTACAAGTTACAGTAATATAAGGCCATAAGATCAATTGTGTTTGCAAATAACGTGAATTTAAACATAATTTGGATCCTATTGGTAAAAACCGAGGAATATCTTAGTTTTTATTGGTCGAAAAAGGCTGGATCTTCGTCTCTATTTGTCGAAAACGCCGGTACCTTGAATATGATTGGTTGAAAATACCAGCAAAACAGAGACAGAAATCCCTTAGTAAAAGACATACAGTATGCTAGGATCACCTGAACACAACCTAGCTTAATTCTCTGTTTATTTTGCTCTTCTTCATCTCATATTCTTTATTCTTCTTCATATGTTTAGTTAATCTTCCTCATCTTCCTTTACCCTTTTTTTTCGATCTGTTTCCTTCATTTGGCTTCTTTCTCTTCCTCTGTCATCACGTTTATACTTTACCACCTGATGGAGGATCACTCTCTCTTCTGATTGGTCGTTGTCACTCTAGTTAACGAGGTGACGAATGGATGACTCCCACTACGACCATTCACGTGCGACTTCTCATAATGGGATGACATGATTGGCTGGACACTGACACGTGATTGGCTGGTACACGCCCCTCCTGATGAACGACTGGACGATTGCCAGGAACTGTTATATGTGTGGTACAGTGGTGTGGTGGTACAGTGGTGTGGTGGTACAGTGGTGTGTGGTAAGTGGTGGTGTGGTGGTACAGTGTGTGGTACAGTGGTGGTGTGGTGGTACAGTGGTGTGGTGGTACAGTGGTGTGGTGGTACAGTGGTGTGGTATCAGTGGTGGTGTGGTGGTACAGTGGTGGTGTGGTGGTACAGTGGTGTGGTGGTACAGTGTGGTGTGGTGGTACAGTGGTGGTGTGGTGGTACAGTGGTGTGGTGGTACAGAGTTGGGTGGTACAGTGGTGGTGTGTGGTACAGTGGTGTTTGGTGTGAGTGGTGGTGTGGTGGTACAGTGGTGTGGTGGTACAGTGGTGTGGTGGTACAGTGGGTGTGTGGTGGTACAGTGGTGTGGTGGTGCAGTGGTGGTGTGGTGGTACAGTGGTGTGTGGTGGTACAGTGGTGTGGTGGTACAGTGGTGTGGTGGTACAGTGGTGTGGTGGTACAGTGGTGGTGTGGTGGTACAGTGGTGTGGTGGTACAGTGGTGGTGTGGTGGTACAGTGGTGTGGTGGTACAGTGGTGTGGTGTACAGTGGTGTGGTGGTACAGTGGTGGTGTGGTGGGTACAGTGGTGTGGTGGTACAGTGGTGGTGTGTGGTGGTACAGTGTGTGGTGGTACAGTGGTGTGGTGTGGTGGTACGGTGGTGTGGTGGTACAGTGGTGGTGTGGTGGTGTGTTGGTGTGGTGGTACAGTGGTGGTGTGGTGGTGTGGAGTGGTGGTACAGTGGTGGTGTGGTGGTACAGTGGTTTGTGGTGGTACAGTGGTGGTGTGGTGGTACAGTGGTGTGGTGGCAGTGGTGGTGTGGTGTGTTGGTGAGTGGTGGTACAGTGTGGTGTGGTGGTACAGTGGTGTGGTGGTACAGTGGTGGTGTGGTGGTACAGTGGTGTGGTGGTACAGTGGTGTTTTGGTACAGTGGTTGTGGTACAGTGTGTTTGGTACAGTGGTGGTGTGTGGTGTGTATTGATGGTGTGGTGGTACAGTGGTGTGGTGGTACAGTGGTGTGTGGTGGTGTTGTAGAGGTGTGGTGGT